TTGATTTGTTGTAAATACGAGGTCTTGCCAAGTTGCCTGGCTGGTCTCGAACCTCTATACTCAGGCAATCCTCTCTCCTCTGCCTCCCAAAGTGCTGAGATTACAGGCATGAGCCATTGTGCCCGGCTGACTGTACAATGTTTTAATTAAAAAACAATTAAAATAAATAATAATGCAAAAATTTGTAGGTTTTCCAGATTTTGTGGTCTCTGTGGCAAATATTCAACTCTGCTATTATAGCAAAAAAGCAGCCAGGGATAAGACTAAGCCAGCAGATGTGGCCACATTCCAATTACCCTTCATGTGTAAAAAATAGACCCCAAATCAGATGGCCCTTGGGCTGCAGTCTGTTGACCTCTGGTCTAGGTGATTAAGTGAATCTGGTGTTGGCTGTAGATACCATGTTAGTAGTGACATAAGCAGCTGCCTTCTCTGTCTGCCGCCCCCCATTTATTTTATGGAGTTGGGAAGAGAATGACTAATGCATTGCCACAGGCCACCCACCCACTAATAAAAAATGATGTTTCCCAGCCTGACCCAATCACTGAAAACAGCCACACATACCAAAATTCAACAGTTCTATTTTCTGCCTCTGAAGTAGATGTTGCAGGTTCTCTAATTTATCACTAAGCATTAATGAACTATCTAAGATGTACTTAGTATATGTGAAAGTCATTAGAAATGTTTTTAGGCCAGATGTGGTGGCTCACACCTATAATCCCAGCACTTTGGGAGGCCAAGGTGAGAGGATTGCCTGAGCCCACAGGTTCGAGACTGGCCTGGGAAATTTGGTAAAACCTCATCTCCACAATAAATAAGAAAATTAGCTGGGTGTGGTGGCATGTGCCTATAGTTCTTGGAAGACTGAGGTGGAAGGATCGCCTGAGCCCAGCAGGTCGAGGTCGAGGTTGCGGTGGCCAGGAGTATGCCACTGCTCTCCAGCCTGGATGACAGAGTGAGACTACTACTAAAAAAAAAAAAAAAAAAAAAAAATTAGGCGTTAGAAAACAAAGTAGAAAATCGAGTACTTTTTTCTGTTGCCAAAATAAATTCCAGTTAGTTCAAATACTTATGTGTAAACATAATGCAAGCAAAGTATAAGATAATGCAAGTAAATTTAGGATGAGTATATATTTTTATAATCTTGGAGTTGGAAGAGTCTATTCAGAACCATGAACCTCAGAAACCACAAAGAGAAAGATCACATAAAAATAGAAGGCATCTACCTGAGAAGATCTGTCACAAACAAGATCAAAAGTAACGGAGAATTTTTAGTATATAAGGCATATGCATTAATTACAATCATCGATAAAAAATTATGAATAATCTAAAAGAAAAGTAGTCATAATTCACAGAAGTAAAAAATGCGAATTAATTTTAAATACCTGAGAAGATGCTTTAAAAAGAAAGGAAAAAATCCAGACTAAAAATCATCAGTCTGGATTGTTTCCTGGATTGTTTCACCTATGGACAGGCAAGCATGTGTCTTAGTTTCTTGGGTCACATACTTTCTGGCCATTCCTTCTGAGTACACTCCCTCCTGGAAGGCAACCACTGTGCTGAGAGGATACTTGGAGTCACTCCAGTCTGAAGTCCCAGGTGGGCTCAGGCTTAAGTCATCCCAGCCCAGGAACTGAATGTGTGAGTGAATAAGCCTCCAGATGATTCCAGCTCATGGCTATTCAAGTCATTCCCAGCCTTTTGGATCTTTGCAATGGATTCTCAGACATCATGCAGCAAAAACAAGCTGTCACCGCTGGGTGCTTCCTGAAATCCTCTTACTCTACTCATAAGCATAGTAAGCTGGTTGTTGTCTGAAATTACTCTTAACCTCTCTGCTATGCAGGGAAATTACATCAGAAAAGATCTTGGAAATCAAATATTAATACAGCAGGAATGCTCACAGCTATGAAGTAAGGGAGAACGTTGCACTTGCTGTAGGGTGACAGCCTTAAGTATCGTGGTCCAAGGAAAGTGAGGGAGGTTGAGAGCAGGATGATCAGTGCTTTGGGTGTGGGCAATGAAGCAAGTGTCCAGGGCCAAAGACCCCTTGTCAGATTCAAAGTCAAGCCTGGGAGGTAGATTTATCTGGGAAGAATATTCATTGATCGAAGCAAAGCAACAAGGACATGTCTGGAAAACAAATTTGGGAGATGAGGTTTTTGTTTGGGATATGGCAAACGTGACTTGAAAAATGAGTGTTAGAGGAACTGACTAGAGCTGGCAAGCCAGGAAGGGAAAGGACAGACACAAGCAGGAGAGAGGGCTATCGGGTGGGGGCAGTGGGTGAAGCATATCGGGTGGGGGGGCTGAGGGGTGGCAGAGAAGCCAGCATCTGTGAACCGCGGGCCCTGGGAATGAGGATCCTTAGGGAGATTACTCCTTCTCTGAGCCTAGAATCTTCAGCAAAGCCTCTGTCGTCAATTAGAATGCTTCCTCTTTCCCATTCTCCAACTTTTTTTTTTCTTGAGTTGGAGTCTCACTGTCACCCAGACTGGAGTGCAGTGGCCGCTCCCGGCCACCGCAGCCTCGACCTGCTGGGCTCAGGTGATCCTTCCGCCTCAGTCTTCCAAGTAGCTGGCACTACAGGCACATGCCACCACGCCTGGCAAATTTTTTGATTTATTATAGAGATGAGGACTCACCAAGTTGCCCAGGCTGGTCTTGAACCCGTGGGCTCAGGCAATCCTCTCACCTCAACCTCCCAAAGTGCTGGGATTATAGGAGTGAACCACCGCACCCGGCCCCATTCTCCAACTTTTCTTTTTTTTTTTTTTGAGTTGGAGTCTCACTCTGTCGCCCCGACTGGAGTGCAGTGGCCGCTCCCGGCCACCGCAGCCTCAACCTGCTGGGCTCCGGCGATCCTTCCGCCTCAGCCTTCCGAGTAGCTGGAACTACAGGCGCACACTACCACGCCCGGCTAGTTTTTGATTTATTGTAGAGAGGAGGTCTTGCCAAGTTGCCCAGGCGGGTCTCGAACCCGCGGACTCAGGCAATCCACTCACCTCAGCCTCCCAAAGCACGGGATTACACCCTGAGCCACCGAGCCTGACCATTCTCCAACTTTTAAAGACCAAATACCTTAAGAAAATTTACAGGGCCCTATAGATCTGTCAGCTTCTCTCTCCCCTTCACTGGCTGCATCTGGACAGGACTCCTGTTTGTAAAACTCTTAGACCTTCGAATCTGCTTTCTCCATCACCCTTTCCTCTGCCTGCCGTGCTCAGCCTTCACCACTGACTCTTTCCCGTCATTCTGGTCCAGATGAAAATTATTTGCTAACTACCATGCATTAATGGATTCTATCTGTTTCTTCTTTTCTGTTTTTGAGTCAGAGTCTCACTTTGTCACCCAGGCTGGAGAGCCGTGGCATGCTCATGGCCACCGCAGCCTTTACCTGCTGGGTTCAGGCAATCCTTCCACCTCAGCCTTCCCAGTAGTTGGAACTACAAGCACGCGCCACCATGCTCAGCTAATTTTTGGATTTATTGCAGAGATGAGTTCTCACCAAGCTGCCGGGCTGGTCTCAAACCTGTGGGCTCTGGTAAGCTTCTCACCTCAGCCTCACTAAGTGCTGGGATTACAGTCATGAGCCACCACACCCGGCACTGAGTTACTCATTTTAAATCCACTGCCTAGCCACCACGCCCACCCTTCTTTTCTTTTTTATTGTACGAATAAGTCAATATTATCTTTCTTCTTTTTCTATAAAGTGAGTTCCATGGGGGCCAGAACCTTGTTGAACTTGTTCAATGCTGTATTTTCAGGACTCCAAAATAGTACTTAGTTGATAGTCAGTGCTTAATGAACATTTGCTGACTATGGATAAATAAAACTCCCTCTTAAACAAACTCTTATCCACACTTCAAAACCCAGCTTATGTTCAACCCCCTGTAAAATCCTCCTTGACCAATATCCTCCAGGCATAGATGGAGCACTTATTCTCGTACTGCTGCTGAATGAAACACCCCACTGTTATTGCATTCATGGAGCTCCACTGCATACCCTAGTTTATATCAGTCTCCCCATGGGTTATGTTAGTTTCACAACTGTAGCTCAGGGGTCCAGAAGATACTTATTGAGTGGAGTAACTGCATCATAGGTAGGGAGTCAACAGAGGAATAGGAACATAACTTCTGAAGCCAGACTCCCTGACCTGGTAGACCGTGTTGTGTGAAACTGGAAAATGCTCTTGGTCTTTCTGGGTCTCACTTTCCTTATCCATAAAATGGTGGAAGCAATAGTTGTGATAAAATAAATAAAGAGCCAGCACGGTGGCTCACACCTGTAATCCCAGGACTTTGGGAGGCGGAGATGAGAGGACTACCTGAGTCTACAGATTCAAGGCCACCCTGGGCAACTTGGTGAGACCTTGTCTCTACAATAAATCAAAAAATTAGTTGGGTGTGGTGGCGCATGCCTGTAGTTCCAGCTTCTTGGATGGCTAAAGCAGAAGGAGCGCTGGAGCCCAGCAGGTCGAGGCTGCAGTGGCCATGAGTGTGCTGCTGCACTCCAGCCTGGGCGACAGAGTGAGACTCTGACTCAAAAAAAAATAAAAATAAAAAATAAAGAGAATGAAATAAACACATCATATTTCTTTTAGAATAAAGCTTTCTTGTCACATAGTAAACACACAAATGGTTTGAATGACTTTATATTGAGAAGTTACAACTTTGGCATAAATACACATGGCACAGACAGAAAAGGAGTAGCAGGAAATAACCAAGTAGAGTGAATGCTAAGGAAATAGGATCATCTCTCCTTATAATACAGATAAGCCTCCCTCACCGGATGGTGCCACAAAGACCCGTCTACAGGCCAGGGGGTTCTCTACAACCAAGCCAGATCTGAGACCTCTGACCACATGCAGGAGGTAAAAATCAACTCCTCAAGGATCTGCATCACAGAAGAGGCTTAAAATATGATCTTCAGCTCATCACATAAAACCATCACCTAAACTAACCATTTCTTATGCAGAAGAGAGTTACTATTTGTAAAACTTCCAATAGCAGCCCAGGTTTTTCTTAGAGAGACCCCAAGAACATGAAGCACAAAGAAAGCATACCAGGAAGGGTCACCACTTTGCTGTCTCTGGTTGGAGCCGATCACCCCAGGCATTTCTGCTAACCAGAGTCCCCCAGCGTACACACAGGATAAAACCAGTCCCTTCCACCAGCGTCTGATGGATCAGTCGGAGGACAAGTTCTTCCTGACATGGGCCAGTGAGGATTGTAAGATCTGTCCTCGAGGCCGCCTCCCTCCCTGGAGGCTGTCAACCCCAGGCACCCAAACATCTCCTGGGAAGCGTAGGTCATGTACACGAAGCCATCTTCATCCTTGTAGTCTCTGTAGATCTCTGCCATGGTCACACTCATGCTGGCCAGGCTCTTGTTGTTCACCAGCAAGTAAAAGGCATCAGTAGCTCCCAGGACCATGCGGCTACTGGGATGAGAGGAAGGATGGTGAGAAAGTTGACAAGGAAGGCAGCCCAGGAATCTGTAGGATCCTGACGCTCAAGAAGACGAAACAGCTCCCTATTCCTTCCCTGGGGATTTAGGAAACACAGGGTCTCTCCCAGCTGGGAAAAAGTGGGTGAGGCCATCTCATTGTTCTAGGAGACATGCCAACACAAAAACATGAAGCAAATAAGCTTCTGTTTGTTATGAGATTAAAAGTATTTCCCCAGAGGCACAGAAGCGATGGATGGTCTCTAGCATCTCACTGTTAAACACCCTTGGGATGACATTTGGAAGGGATCTACAGCCTTGAAAGGCGCCCTTCCCTCCCCATGGGATTTCTACCCCCACATCAAGTAGAAGGAGAGCAACAAAGTTCAGTTGCACATGCTTTCATTGTCAAGGGTAATGTAAGTCTGGATTCATCCTGAAGTGGTTGGCAGCATGACAGTGTGGGTGCCAGGTGATAGCTTAGTCTCACTTTAAGCACACTTCCATGTGCTAAAATGGGTGAAACAGGCACAGACCACCACACCAGCCACAGAGTTTTGATCTTCAGGTGGGCTAAGTCCACGCAGCAGTGGGAGACGGGGAATGGCCAGAACCCAATTCATCTTACACTTCGAAAACCCCTCCCAGAGTAACCTCAAAGGTTATAACCCTGACAATTGCACAGGGTCACAAGGGGTAAAAGAGAACCTTTCTGCAATGGCGACAGGTGGAGCTGGGGATGGGAGTATTGCCACCATCTGGGAAGGAAGACTCCTGTCCCCAGAGCCTGTACCTCCAGCCCTTGTGTTTTGCCAGCTGTCTTATGATGAGCAATGGATTACCCCATGAGGGCGAAGGCTGTGGGTAGTGACTCTTGTCTATTCTCTTCCTGGTTGGATCGCAGAGTCCAGAAAATATCCACAACATATTTGGTGCTCAATAAACTTTGAGAAGTACCAAATGTTGGGATAGGGGTGCAGGTCAGGGGTGGAGGGCCCTGACTTGGAAGGAAAACAAGAATGGCTCTCACAACTCAAAGGATTTTTCTTTGGGCAGGGGTGGGGGAGGGACGTCTTCATGAGAGACCAACACATTGAGGTCTGCTCCTGACTTTCCCTCTTTCCTAGACACCTCCCATTCATACTGGACTAACCTTCACATATATACTGTCCTGAGGCGAGGAAATCAGAATGCTTTTTTTTTTTTTCCCAGTAGGGGTGTCACTCTGTTGCCCAGGCTGGAGTGCACTGACAAACTCACAGCTACCGCAGCCTCAACCTGCTGGGCTCAGGTGATCCTTGTGCCTTAGCCTTCCAAGTAGCTGGAACCACAGGCTCATGTCGCCACACCTCACTAATTTTTTTATTTACTGTAGAGATGAGGTCTCGATAAGTTGCCCAGGCTGGTCTCGTATCTCTGTACTCAGGCAATCCTCTCGCCTCTGCTTCCCAAAGTACTGGGATTACAGGTGTGAGCCACCTGGCCCAGAATGCTCTTAAATAACTCATTAAAACAAAACAAAAAGACATTCATTCATAGCAAATTTTCAAAGAAACAGACTGCAATGGTTAGTTGCATAGTTTTCTACCATTCCTTTTAACCCTGTGAGGACTTACCCTTCAGATCAATTTACTTTACAACCAGATCATTTTTTAATTGAATCCATTTGACAGGTGACACCTCCTAACCTTCTTAAGATTTAAAAATAACTACCTTTGCTGGGCACTGTGACTCAGCCTGTAATCTCAGCACTTTGTGAGCCCGGGGGTTTGAGACCAGCCTGGGAAACTTGGTGAGACTTCATCTCTACAATAAATCACAAAAACTAGCCAGGCGTGGTGATGTGTATCTGTAGTTCCAGCTGCTTGGAAGGATGAGGCAGAAGGATCGGCCAAGCCCAGCAGGTTGAGGCTGTGGTGGCCATGAGCATGCCGCTGCACTCCAACCTGGGCAACAGAGTGAGACTCCAACTCAAAAAAAAGAAAAAAGCTACCTTTTCTTTGCTGTGCCTCTGCCTTAACCCAAGAGAGGAGCATGTTTTGGGGACACCTTCCTTATCCCTCCTCTCAGTGTTTAGAGCAGAAAGCAATTGCTTTTTGAAGAGCTCCCCACCCCCAGGCACACACACACTTGGAAAAGGTACTTTTCTCTGCTGGGGACATGCAGACGAGGCTTCAGACAGTATCTGAAAGAAAGGATCTTCTGGACTGGTTTCAGAGCCAAGACTACTTTGGAAATTCTTAGAAATGCTGGCAGCTGTTACTCTCTTAATTTGTTGCCTGAGGGGTTCTCCTCACCTGTTTAAAATAGAGTAATTCTAAGAGCACCTTTTTCAGTGCACTGCAGAATCTAAAAGATGAGACAGACACACACAGACACACACACACACACACACACACCTTCCCTCTTTTCCCTTGAAATACTTCTAACGCCAAAACAGAATAGCCGTAAAGAAAATTTTAAAAAACCTAGATACACACATACACACACACACACACATACACACACACACACACAAACACACATCTTCCCTCTTTTCCTTTGAAATACTTCTAACCCCCAAACAAAACAGCCATTAAAAAAAATAGAAAAAACCTAGATACACACACACACACACACACACACACACACACACACACACTGTGTCACCTACCGGATGATGCTGAGGAACTGGGTCATGGTCAGCTCCTGCGGGACCAAGAACTTGGTTTTGTCCAGCAGGGGCAGGAACTTCTCTCTGGGGTAGCGCTCCACTATCACCTGCCAAGAGTTTCAACCCTTAAGAATGTGACTCTGTGTCTTAGGAACTTGGAATAAGGAGAGGGAAATTGTTGGCTGGTCTTTGTTTTTTCAAAGAACAAGATCACAGGCCCCCTCTAAGGAAGTATAATGGGGTCTTACCGGAATCTTGTTTGGGAACTTTGCCCGGATTCCAGCAACTTCCTCCTGTCTGGTTGCTGTGAATATTTCAGGAACAAAAGAATAAACAGTCAGTAAGAGAAGCCTATATCCTCTCCTCTGTTTCTCTAGTAACGCGGAAAACTACCCCCAAGAACTTTACCTAAGCTCTTCCTCTGCTTGAAAGGTCTGAGGCTTGGGATTTTCTGTGGAGGCGGCATTTCACTCAACAGCTGTGTCCGTGTCTGACTTAAAAAAGAAAAAAAATCCCACAACCAGGACCTAACTCATTCCTCCAGCTGCTTCCAAACTGCCTGCAGGAGCCCAAAGGAGGCCCTTATGTAGGGCTGTGTGACATCAGGCCTCTCCTGACCCTCCCTCTTCCCCACTCCCCCTCCCTGGGCAGCAGGAGGTCAGCTCTGAGGGTTGAAATGGAATAACCACCTGCCTGTTGGTCAGAGAAAGCCACTTTGTTCATGACCGGTTCAAGATGTTTCTTTGCTAAAGGAATTAGGGTTCCTAATAAAATTATTGGCTAGGCATTCCAACAGCCCAGGTCTGGGCTGCGGACTTTGGAGAGGTAGAACTGCCTTATACTCAGAGCAGTTTTGAACTTCAGTAAAAAACCATTTTGAAGGAAGTTCAAGGTGGAGCCAGCTCACCTTGAAATGTGCCCTGTATTGTCACCACAGTCCTTGCCATTTTTTACCAATAGAAACCTAGACCATCCAGGCGTGGTGGCTCACGCCTGTAATCCCAGCACTTTGGGAGGTGGAGGCAAGAGGACTGCCTGATTCCAGAGGTTCCAGACTAGTCTAGGAAATTGGTGGGACCTCGTCTCTACAATAAAAAGAAATTATCTAGGTGTGTGACAAGTACCTGTGTTTCCAGCTACTTGGAAGGATGAGGCAGAAGGATCACCTGAGCCCTGCAGGTAGAGGCTGCGGCGGTTATGAGCGTGCCCTGAGCGTGGAGCGTGAGACTCTGGCTCAAAACAAAACAAAACAAAACAAAACAAAACATAAAAACCTTTACTCAGCCGGGCTCGGTGGCTCAGCCTGCAATCCCGCGCCTTTGGGAGGCTGAGGTGAGTGGATTGCCTGAGCCCGTGGGTTCGAGACCCACCTGGGCAAACTGGCGAGACCTCATCTCTACAATAAGTAAAAAACTAGCCAGGCGTGGTAGCGCGCACCTGTAGTTCCAGCTACTTGGAAGGCTGAGGCGGAAGGATCGCCGGAGCCCAGCAGGTCGAGGCTGCGGTGACCGGGAGCGGCCACTGCACTCCAGTCTGGGCGACAGAGTGAGACTCCAACTCAAACAAACAAACAAACAAATAAAAAATCCTAAAAAACCTTTACTCACTCAGAAAGGTTAAGTGATTTGCTGAGGTCACACAACTAATAAGAGAGGGAGGTGGGATTAAAACCCAGAGGTGTTACAAGGGAATACAGGTGCTACACTCCAGTACATTCTGTCATTTTTATCTTCTCTGCAATAAAAAAGGAAAATGACAAGATCTCCCTTAAGATCTCCCTTGAAGAGATGAGAAATCAGGCCTCTGGTAACAGACAGAAAAACCACCTGGTCCTTTTTGGGTTTTTATGGAGGCTTCATTACATAGGCATGATTGATTAAACCATTGACCACTGGTGATCAATTAACCTCTAGTCCGTCTTCCCTCCATGGAGGTTGGGGAATGGGGCTAAAATCCCAACCCTCTAATCCTGCCTGGTCTTCTGGTGACCATCTCCCATCCCGAAGCTGCTATGTTGCCTAGGCTGGTCTCAAACAGTCAACTCATAAGCATACACAAGACACTTATCACTTTGAAAATTCCAAGGATTTTAGGAGTTGTATGCCAGGAAACTGGATAAGAGACCAAATATTATTTCACAGTATCACCAGGCCCTACGAGTGAATTGAATTGCCTGGGATCAAATGGCTAGTAAGAAGCAAGACACAGCTTCCCCAGTTCCCAGAGTCTAGGGGTTGCTTCCGGATGTGCCCTTCCACGTAACCCTCCAGACTCTGAAAAGCAGGCTTCTACTTGTTTCCTTCACTGTTGACAATATATGCCACGACTTCCCAGCAGTCATTCAACAGTGAAGTCTTGGAATAAACAGAATGACAGAAAAGGAAACGGAGTGTTCGCCACATTTGATGGTTGAATTAAACAGTGTGGATCTCCGGGTTTTACACCAATGATCAGAGATAGACATCAGGTAATTTTTTTTTAAGTTGGAGTCTCACTCTACTGCCCAGGCTGGAGTGCAGTGGCACAGTCACAGCTCACCACAGCCTTGACCTCCTGGTCTCAGGCCATCCTTCTGCCTCAACCTCCTGAGGAGTAGCTGGTACTGCAGGCATGTGCCACCACATCTGGCTAATCTTTTTTATTTTTATAAAGACTTGCTATGTTGCCTAGGCTGGTCTCAAACTCCTGGACTCAAGCAATCCTCCCACCTCGTTCTCTCACAATGCCGGGGTTACAGGAGTGAGCCACCACACCCAACTGACATCAGGTTGATTAAATGACGGCATCACTGAAAGATGGCCTTATCTTCTTTCTCACCTTCTTTATTTCTTATAGAAGAGGTGTGCCTTCACATGTGTGGAATAATAACATTACATATGCAGAATCAGGAGCAGGTGTGCTGTGCTCTGTGGTCAAGTTTAAATCTGCAATCTTCCCAGTTGCCTTGTAGGTGGGCAGAGCAGGTAGAGTGCCCACTTTGCAGTGAACAAGACCATTTAGCCAGGATGCTCTGAGGTGGGATCCACTCCGAAAGGTTAAGTGATTGTCCAACCCAGATTGTCCAATTCCCAGGGAAAGGCCCACAACCCAAGACCAGGCCTAACCTCCTACCTATCCACCTTAATTTCTGATTAGTGACCTCACATTACTAAGTCTGGTTTCCTTTTTTTTTGAGTTGGAGTCTCACTCTGTCACCCAGGCTGGAGGGCAGTGGCACACTCCCAGCCACCGCAGCCTCTATCTGCTGGGCTCAGGCGATCCTTCCACCTCAGCCTTCCAAGTAGCTGGAACTACAGGCACGCGCCACCATGCCCGACTAGATTTTTGATTTATTGTAGAGGCGAGGTCTCGTCAAGTTGCTCAGGATGGTCTCGAACCCGTGGCTCAAAGCCTGGTTTTCAATGATTATAATAATACCTATCTCAGAGTGGATATGTGAATCTTAAATGATCTGGTTTGTGTAATGTGGCTCACATAATACCTACCTCCAAATCCCCCCAGTATATGTATCTTCTCCCACTTCCCCAAATCATGCCTCCCCCAAGCCCCCATGATCCTAGGAAAGGTTACACGCATTCAGGTCTGAAGGCTGAAGGCGGAGGTAGAAGGAATAGCACTCAGTTGGGGCCAGAGGAAAATAAATCCCAGCTGTAGTGTTTGGTCAAGGGCTTTGAGATGTTTCCTAACTGCTTTACACTTGACTTTCTGAGCTGGGATGTAGGGATTGCCATCTAGACCAAGCAGGCCTCCTGTTCAGGATGTAATGGAGATTAAGGGGATAATAGAATAAGGCACTTGGGAAAAAATGAAAACTCAGAATGGAACATCATTCAGGCAGAGGAATGGGCTAGGTCATTTTTCTTTTATTGGAAGGTGTCTTTTGAGGGGAGTGAGGTGTCCAGGGTACTGTGTGACCCCAGCATGATCCTGGCTGATGCTCCACAGGGGGTTGGAACCTTTTGGCAGGGAGGTAAGCAAAGCCCGGTTATGTCGATGCCATATGTGTCATGGGGAAGGGAATAAGAATGGCTCTGAGGGAAACAGCTGGAGGAAGAGTGCCCTTGATTGGTCCAAAGACCTATCTACTGAGATATATATATTAAGAGACAGGGTCTTTCTTTGTTGCCCAGGCTAGAGTGTGTGGGGCAATCATAACTCACGGCAACCTCAAACTCTTGGGCTCCAACGATCCTCTCGCTGCAGCCTCCTGAGAAGCTGAACTACAGGCACACACCACCACAATGGGTTAATCTACTGATATTTTAATAAACCAACAACCAACTCTGCTCACACTGCAGATCAGGCATGCACAGTGGGAAATATACTTCTCAGAGCTTTACCTGACCCACAGACAAATCGTGGGAAGTGGGAGGTGACTGAAATCATTTTGATTTTCACTAATCCACACTCCCACCCTCGCTGGTCCCACCTGTCTTCTCAGACCCAAGTACTGAAGGGGCGAAAGACACTTGGAGTCCAGGTACTAGAGAGAGCAAGCTAGGAGATCAGCAGTGGTGGAAAGTGTGACGCTTGCTTGTTGTTTTGTTGTTGTTGCTTTGGAGTTGAAGTCTTACTCTGTCACCCACGCTGGAGTGCAGTGGCATGCTCATGGCCACCGCAGCCTTGACCTGCTAGGCTCAATGATCCTCCCACCTCAGCCTTCCAGATAGCTGGAACTACAGACACGAACCACCACTCCCTGCTAATTTTCTGATTTATTGTAGAGACAAAGTCTCTTCAAGTTTCTCAGGCTAGTTTTGAACCCCTAGGCTCAAGCAATCCTCTCCCTTCGGCCTTCCAAAGTGCTGGGATTACAGGTGTGAGCCACCATGACTCATGGCTAGGGACACTTGAAACAAGGATTAGGGAGGACTTATTCTTCCTGCCTATGGACTTGACCAAACCTCCCCTTTTTAAAAATAGCAACCAGCCGGGCTTGGTGGCTCAGCCTGTAATCCCAGCGCTTTGGGAGGCCGAGGTGAGTGGATTGCCTGAGCCTGTGTGTTTGAGACCCACCCGGGCAACTTGGCAGGACCTCATCTCTACAATAAATCAAAAATTAACTGGGCATGGTAGTGCGCACCTGTAGTTCCAGCTACTTGGAAGGCTGAGGTGGAAGGATCGCTGGGGCCCAGCAGGTCGAGGCTGCAGTGGCCGGGAGCAGCCACTGCACTCCAGTCTGGGCAACAGAGTCAGACTCCAACTCAAAAAATAAATAAATAAATAAAAATAGCAATTGACCCTCCCTTCACTCTTCCAAGTGTGGGACTGTCATGGAAAGAACTTTGGAAAAAGACTTGGGTTCCAACTCTTGCTTACTAGAAAGTGAACCTCCTTGGCTGGGCGTGGTGGCTCATGCCTATAATTCCAGCACTTTGGGAGGCCGAGGTGAGAGGATTGCCTGAACCCATGGGTTCGAGAACAGCCTGGGTAACTTGGTGAGACCTCTTCTCTACAATGAATCAAAAAATTAGCTGGACGTGGTGGCGCGTGCCTGTAGTTCCAGCTACTTGGAAAGCTACGGCAGAAGGATCACCTGAGC